AAAACAAAGGACATCACTAGATTATCATGTTGTCATTCAAACTGATAATAAATGAGTTTAACCTATTTTTATGTTTTGGATTAGTACTGTATTTGGATTTATTTCTACCACCTTACTTTGTGCTTTTGATTTTTCCCCCTCCTTCTCTGGCATTTGCTTTCCTTATTCCTGCTAAGTCTCTGCACCGTCCTCCCCAACCCTTTATTTTTCTCCTTCATTGGAGATTCTATTTTTGGTTTTCAGTGGTTTATGCTAACTTGGAGGAAATGAAATAAAAGGGAGCAGGGAAACTAAAGTATCCATGCACATTTAAAGAAAAAATCCAGTGTGCAAACAGCACAGTAATAATTGTTTCAGGCAATAATCATCAATGGATGCTAACATGGGTGCAGGAAAGGATGAGGGTAAACAGCATATTTACATAGTTTCAAAGCAACTCCCCACCAGATACTTAGTAATTACAAAGGGGAAAAAATAACTACAATGGAGAAACCTGGGAAAAGTCACTTGAACTAACTGCTCAAAGCCAACCTCCTCAATAAAGGGACAGATCAGTATCATGTGTCTCGTGAACGAACACAGTTAAAGGTCCGTGGTATTCTTGCCAAAAAAATGCATAACTGGAATTTAATCACAAGGAACCCACCATCAGACAAACCCAGACTGAGAGACAGTCTATGAAATGATTGACAATACTCTTCAAAAGTGTCAAGGTCACAGAAGAAAAGAAAAGAAAAGCTGAGTACATGCTCCACCGTAAACACCTACGGACACTGCGGGACAGCGGGTGGCACTCCAAGGTTGTCAGCAGAGCCACATCAGTGCTAATTTCCTGGTTCTGACCACTCCACTGGAGTATGAAAGACACCGTCATCTGTGAAACCTGGGTGATCTCTGTTGGAAGGCTCTGTGCTGCTTTAATTTTGCTTTTTGAAGGATGTTGGTGTTTTAAAAATTGACATAAAATTCACATTACGTAAAAGCAACCATATGAAAGTGTGCGGTGAGCGCCATTTAGTATAGCCACACTGTTGCTCAAACCATTGGGACTGTTTTGGTAACTTTTAAAAAGTCTGAAGTTATTTCAAAATGTAACTTTGAAAATTAAAAACCTTTTATGAAAAATAAAAACAAGAAGAAATTTTAAATGAACAACAAACAAACACAAATCTTTTACAAAAAAAAAAGTCCCCCCACCACGTGCTCCACCACGCGCCCGCCCCNCCGCCTCCGGCTGCAGGTTTCGGCGATCTCAGGCGGCAGAGACGCGTCCCAGCCTCTGTGTTCCTGTTCTCCTGGATCTCTGCCTGTGTCCGGATTTCCCCTTTTTATAAGGACACCAGTCACGTTAAAATAGGGCCCACCCACCTCCACTGTCAGGCGAATGCTGGACAGAGACTGATGACTCGCCCCTGCCTACCGAGCAACCCCCCCCCGCCCCCCAGGAAAGTACCCAGAGCCGGGCAAAGGCACGTCTGCTTTAAGACAAAGGGAAGACGGTGGGCAGCAGGAGCCCTGAGAAAGTGAGTTACAGTGAAAATGCAGTGAGAAAACTGGTGTGGAGTACTCTGGTGCCAGCAGGGGGTTACCTGTCTATTCAGCCAGACCTCCTGTGCCCTCTGAGCGGGTGAGGGTCTACAGGTAAGCATGCAGATGACTTACACCTCTCTGATCTGT